TAATCATCTATCCCTCTCATATGTGAGAGTTTTATTTTCTTATTCATGTTTGTTTGTGGATGTCCAACCCCTATTTTTTCCCACTCGCAATCCTACCGTCACATCCATACCTATGTCCCTCCCCTCGCTGTTGAGTGCTCCACCGACTTCTCCTCCCTCATGCTTGTCCCCCTTCACATTATAGATAATGTTTGTGAAAGGGATGCTTGGTTTTGGGAGTTAAGGCTCTTTTTATATCCATTTGTTTGACCATATGAGCATGTATCGGTTTCACCCACATTCTAGATGGTCTCTTCGGGTGTCTTCACAAGCCTTTATTCTGGTGGTTTTCACGGTGGTGCTGATCTTGGCGGCGGCAATGACAACAGTTGATGGTTAAAGATGACCTTATTTGACAAGGTTAGGGTTTGTAGTAATTTTGGGCTTTGTTTATGTGTTTGGTTTAATTTGTTTTGTTTTTCTTTTCCAATTTGTTTTGTTTTTCTTGAGTTTGTGATGTATTTGAGCTAATTAAGGCGCTTTTCCTTTCTGTCTAATAGGTTTCACCACTTTATTAGTGTTTCAAAGCCCTAGCAACTCCATACAACAAAATTTTTACACGAACAAGATTTCAGACTTTTTGTCTCTCAAGGCTGCAACTGTATGATTATTATGTTACCCCTAAAATCAATCTTGGGCGCATCTGTCATTATTTGTCTATGAGACAAAAAGAAACATAATACATTAATAAATATAAAAGTTATGTTCTTGAGACCTCTACGCAATTGTTAAACTGGTTGCTAATATATTCCTGCATCTTCTTCTTGGCAACCAAACTAGCACATAGTTGCATCCATCTGTGTCTCTAAATTTCTTATTTTGCTTATCTTTCTTCTGTGGTGTACATCTCAAAATAAATCCAATAATAATCTGATCCGATGTGTAACAGATATGGATTTATAGGTGCAATTTGATAGTCTAACTATTTAAATATTCATAAGAAAAAAAAAAAGTCAGGAAAACTAAAGAGACATAGGGATATACCATTTAAATATCCATTTATAAAGTCGTGAAAAAAAAACTATATAAAAACAGTATAGCCATGCTAGGCGTACCAAACATGGGTATAGTCTCATTTAAGTAAATCCCGTCTCTTATCAAACATGGATTTCGAGTGTTATTTAACCCAGTGCAATCCAGTTAGGTGTACCAAACATGGCCTAACAATTTAAATACGTTTCAGACTTGAGCCCTTATTCATTTCAATCAATCCATAAATAAACTCTGTTTTTGTAAAAGTGCAAGTTGGTCTACGAAAATATTTACAAACAAAGAAAATATACAACCACGCTGTTTGATTCTGACAGCTGCTTAAAAATGACCCTACTCGATCGGCTACCTCTATCGAAAATTAATTTACTTTACTTGCATTTATTAATTTAGAGATAGAGGGGCTTTAATTTTCAAAGACTAGTTTTGATATGAAAAAGTCATTTAGATCTCATCTCTCGTTCATATATGCTTCTTATTTTAGATATATATTATTATATAAAAGGCTTTGCTTAGACCACGTCGTGCATAGAGGGACAAGAGCCTGTGTGTCCACACCATCTCCCCGTGCAAAAAATGAGGCACAAAAACAACCAACACTCCCCTCTTCCTCTCTTTCTCCCCCTTCGCCACAAACACCTCATCATGCAATAAGTACAATCCCTCCTACTCTCTTAATACAATCTATCAAAATTCGGATTCCTTATGAAATACCACAAAAGCCCATTCCATTCAATTACATATATACGTATGTAATTTACAAATAAAACGCTCGGGTGGTTGAGAGCAGTTATCCTTATATTCAATGTGTTCTGTGTTCAAATCCCCCTATTACTTACTTGTATAAAATATATAATAATAAAAAACACAATTGTATTGTAATTAATCCCAAGTTAATTAAAGTTACTTGATTAAGCACATCAGGCATGGTACTGTAAACCTCCCTTCCTAGAGTAACGCATGACACAGTACATGTATGCAATTTGATTTCAAGTACCATAACTAGCAGATTATCTTCAACTTCTTCTAAGCAATTTGGCAAATAAAACCACTAGCTAATTCTATAAATAATGAGTTGGTGGTGGACGACTACAATGGCATTATAGTAATTTGAAGAATTGATTCTATGAAGCAGGAAACAAACAAAGTTGATAACAAAAAATACAGATGGAGAAAAATGAAATGATTTGAAAATAGGTAGCTAGCAAAAAAACGACCCTATCTACTTTCTCTCGTTATGGATTATCCACATCTCCATCGAAGTCCCCTCTACACTTAGGCAGTAGCATAGTTATGGGAGAAGAGAAGACAGCGCCTTTGGATCGATGCATGCTTGCTCCAACCAAAAGCCTCCAAGAAAATCAAACATCTCTCCACCACTCTAATTGATATATGAATGGGAAATGAAAAACGTCTCCTCACAATTCAATTTCCCAACCCAAGAAGCAAACGAAAAAGAAAGATCATCATCGGGAACTTGTGAATGGGATTTCAATCTCTCAACAGTTGTGTCTTCAAGCGTCGGCTCCACCGGAGGAGCCGTATCAAATACCATCGGCGTGATCGAGTTCGACCCATCAAACGCAGTCGTAGCCACCGGCGGAATCGCAAGAAAAATCAGAGTTTACAGCTTCAACTCTCTGCTACCCAGTGATCGATTTTCCCAAGCCAATTTGTTAGACCACGTCACTGCATGCGCCTACACTCTGTGCACCCCAGCCAAGCTCAGCAGCCTTCGCTGGCGACCCGGATCCGACGGCAGGGTCCTCTGCTCGGGAGACTACGACGGCGTCGTCACGGAGTACGATCTCGAAACGCGCCTCCCCATCTTCGAGCGCGACGAGCACGGCGGGCGCAGGGTCTGGAGCGTCGATTACTCCCATTCGGATCCGGTTCTAGGGGCATCCGGCTCCGACGACGGGACGCTCCAGATGTGGGACCCGCGCTGCGACGGCGGGGAATGCGTGGCTAGTGTGCAGCCCAGCGAGGCTCGTAATCCGGTCTGCTGCGTGGAGTTCGATCCTTTTGGTGGGGCCTTGGTGGCCGTCGGATGTGCGGACCGGAGGGCATACGGGTACGATGTGCGGAAAATGGTGGACCCGGTTTTGGTCTTCGACGGGCATAGGAAGACCGTGACTTATGTCCGGTTTATCGACGGGTGTACGGTTGTGACAGCTGGCACGGACGGGTGTTTGAAGCTGTGGGACACGGAGGATTCGCGGGAGATTCGGACGTACAAGGGGCACACAAATAATCGGAGCTTTGTCGGGTTATCGGTGTGGAGGAATGGGGGGCTAATCGGGTGCGGGTCAGAGGATAATAGGGTGTATGTGTACGATAAGAGGTGGGGCGAGCCCATTTGGCTGCATGGGTTTGGAGCGGTGGGTGAGGGTAGTAGTGGTGGGTGCGATGAGGAGCTTGGGTTTGTGAGCAGCGTTTGCTGGAGGCAAGTTGACGAGGAGCAATGCACACTTATCGCTGGTGGGTCGGATGGGGATTTGCAGGTTTTTTTGGGCAGAAGAAAGCCATTAATGTTGGATTATTAGCATTTTAACAGCTTTCATCTCCCATTATCCTACTCCAAATATTCATTTGCTGAAAATTCAATTAATTGTTGCATATGGAGAGAAGTACTGCTACGAGAAAGTTAATTTTAGCAGAAATTAATAGAAAAAACTAGATGCCATTTTGTTTTTGTTCAAGTTATTTGCAATCAATTTTCTGACTTCCATATCCATGCAGCCAATATTTCCTTCTTTTTTTTTTTTCGGGAATGATGCAGTTTTTTTTTAATTTTTAAAACAAGCAATAGTCTAAATTAAAAGGAGGAAAATTTTCTCACACACACATTACTAAGGTGTCATGATAGTTTGAATATGAAACTACTCGTCTACAAGTCAAAGTCATTTTTTACTAAGTTACACCCATTGGCCTTTGTATTATTGCATGGCATTACTGAAAAATGATAACAACTGGCATTTGGTGAAGAAAAAAAATACTGGGATTTTGTGACTCTAATAAAAAAACTCTCGTATGTAGGGTTGGGCACGGTATGAGATGACACAGGATGGAGGTCATCTCGGTATCAATCCCGAATAGGGGAATCGGGATGGGATGACACAGGATGAGAGTTTTTGAAAACATGTTCAAACCGTACCGGACCCAAACGGAATCGGTATGATTCGGTATCAATGTTGATACTGATACCGTTAAAAATCTGCAAAATTTCATAAATCAAGTGTAATACAACAAAACCCTCAATCAAGATTCAAGAGTCTTGATTGACCAACCAAGGAATGGAAATTTCATAGAAAGTTCAAGTGAAATGGAAATCAAATCTCATACAAAGAGCTTCTTGTGGGATACCTCATACATGTAACACTCTTTCTCAGTCAAGTTAACAAATGTAAGTTGCTTCACTTCTTATTCTTCAATCAGTCTTTTATGTTGTCCTAGGATAATCATATTTTAAATATAATTGAGGCTAACTGGAGTTTTGAAGTAATTTGTGTTGTTGGGTTGCATGCTGTAATTTGAACTATATCTACTTACCTTTCCTTCATTTTGCTTATGGACAGATTTTGGTGGGCGGCATGACAGTTGGGAAGAGTATTTTGCTTGCAGTTTTGCTCTGTTTCTACATGTAATTGGAGTAATTTTCATGTGATGTTTAATAGCTGCTTTGGAGAAGAATGAAGATTTGATTTCCAAATTAAGTACCCCCTGATTTTTCTACATAGAAACTCAAAGAGACTTTGGGTTGGGGTTTTCTTGAGAGAGAGAGGGTGGGGGGAGGAGAAGAAGAAGATGAGATCGATTGATGGTGGAGGATTTGGGAATTACAGCTTCAAATCGCGACTGGAGAAAGGAGAAAGGAGAAGATAAGAGAAAAAAAGAATTAAAACAAAGAGAAAGATGAGTTGACGAAATATCTGTGGAAGAGAGTAGGGGTGGAACTAAAATTAAATTACGATTAATAAAACTAATTTACTGTTCTGTACGGTATGACACCAACCGGGATCATAAATATGGAACTGATGTCGTGCCAAACAGTAATGAGATGACACGGTATCATCTCGTTTACACGTCAACACCAAACGGGACGGCACGAGATTGGCACAGTTTGACATGGTTTCGGGATGGTTTCGGTATTTCAGTTTTGATGCCCACCCCTACCCGTATGTAGTGAGCAGGAGATGGCTCACATGGTGGTTTTGATAACATGGTGGTTGGATCGAGAGTTTGGCAAGTTTTTGTTCGATGTCAATATTTTCATTAGGGTTTTGATCATTAAGTACTTCTTTGTGAAATTAAACAGTTCACTGGATTTGATAACCTTCTTCTAAGAAACAAAAGGAATAATCTTCATTTTCTTGAATTGTTCTTTTCTCTTTATTGTGCATAAAATAAATTCACCAAAAATAACTTCATCTTTTTTTTTCCTTTTTTTTTTTTTTTTGCGGATAACAGAAGAATTCATTCATAAACCATGTCAATTACACAGAATTGACATCATTTCAGACCCTCTAAACACGAAGGGGTCAAGCCAAAGCTAAGAAATACAACAATGCACACAAAGGCCAGAATCAGTGAGCAAAAAATTAACACTAAACCCAGTTAACAAGAAGCCATAACCAAACTTGCAAAACCAGTGCCACAAGTGAATTCAATAATCAATATAGACAACATCTGATTTCACCTAAGAGAAAGGACATAACTACCCAGCTTCCTCTCGACACTCCAATAAGCATCATAACACAATCTCTTCTCCATCAGATCATCATCACCCAGATTCTAAAAATTCCTCAAAGCTTATCCTCCATAACCAACCCCAAACCTCTAACAAATCCAGATATTAAGGCAAGCCAAGCAAGACCTTTATACATAGAAATCTGGCTTATCCTCCATAACCAACCCCAACTCTCTCATGAATAATAAACTCACATAATATTTATAATGGAGCCCAACTTTCCTTATTTTGTAATGAAAGACAAATGAAAAGTGAATATTAATGTTATTAAATTAATATCATTACGAAGCTACAACAACATATTAAGATAAATTAATATTTAATGTGGGGCCCTGCTCGTTCGCTCACTTTGTCAATACTACATAATATGTGAATTAAGAGTAATGCTAGAGACACAAAATTTGTGCACCAAATTTGAGTCCCAAATAATATGGCACATGCCACACCATAAATGTTTAATTAACCAATTCCAACTTAATTATGATTTAGTTAATTTATTTTAGGAAAAAAAAAATCTAAACTTACTTAATCAACATACCTACAAGTACAACCAACCCTAAAGAGTCCAACTTGCCGTGGCACCACCGTTTTCCCACCATCAGCGAAGCTTGTTCGTACTAAATTATCAGTCAATGTGTTTCAGTGGGGACTCTTTCTTTCAAACTCTCTTGGTGTAAGGATCCGATGCGCATATACAGACAAGCTAATGGAATCAAAACTGAATATATGTGCACGAGTCTTCTCTTCCATTCAATCGGTTTATGTGGTTTAACTCATCAATCTTCTCTTCCCATCATTAGTTCCCAATATCCTAAATTATCTTCATGGAGTCACAATGGAACCGAATTTTCATGTTAAAGTCTTAATTTTAGATCCTTGTTTTCAAGATGAAGATGATGATGGTTGTAAAAGTCTCAAATTTTGATCCTTATTTCCAAAATGAGGACGATTAGAGCCAAATTGTTTTCAAGATGAAGATGATGATGGTGGTAAAAGTCTCAAATTTTGATCCTTATTTCCAAAATGAGGACGATTAGAGCCAATAATGGTACAATGACAAACTAAATTGTTTAGGGTTGCAGGGATTTTGATTGATTCAGTTTTATTTTCATTTTAGAGTAAAACCAACTAAATTAGAATCTAATTTGTAATTAGTTATTTAAATATTTATGATGTAACATATACCACGTCATTTGAGACTTAAATTTAAGGGTATATTTTTGCTCACCACTTTAACCAAAGATGTACTCTCATCACCTTTCTCAATACTTGACACGTGTCCCTTGGCATAACTATAGTTAACTATTTACTTTGTATTTATGCAACCATTGTTATGTCAATAAACACGTGTCAAATGTTGAAAAAGGTGGTTAAAGTACACCTTGGGTTAAAGTGGGGAGCAAAAATGCTCCTCAAATTTAATATAAAAATTTATTGTATCTAGCATTAGGGAGCATTTTTGCTCACCACTTTAACCATATGTGTACCCTCACCACCATCCTCAATGCTTGACATGTGCCCATAGATATAACCATAGTTAACTTTTGCTTTGTATTTATGGAATTATGGTTATGTCTATGGACACGTGTCAAGCATTGAGAATGCTGGTGAGGGTACACCTATGGTTAAAGTGGTGAGCAAAAACGCACCTCTATCAGTAACCATGAATTAATAACGATGTGTTAATGTACCGTAACATATTTTTCCTGCCCATAAGAGTCAAAAGTCAAAACCAACATCGATCACCGTTGGATTGGCGTCAATGGAGACGTGGAAGACTTTATATGAGATTCGACGGGAGAAGATGAGTCGTTGATTTTGGAAGTCACAGATCTAGAGTGTTAAAACGAGGGCACCAGTGTAGAAGTAAACTGTAGAATACTCCTTGTCGTTCTCGTTTCCAATTAAACTAAACCCTGCTTTGTTTTGGGTTTTGGGTAGCTCCATTTCTTCCGAGCAGCCTAGAAACCGAGAGGAGGGTTGGGATTTTCAGAGAGAGAGACAAAAAAAAATGGTGTGGTGACGTCGGCGGTGGTGAACACGTACCCACTGTCGAGCTACACGTTCGGGACCAAAGAGCCCAAGATGGAGAAGGATACCTCCGTCGCTGATCGCCTCGCTCGAATGAAAATCAAGTATGCCTCATTTTTTTAAAATTTATTTACTCCTTTCAATTTGTTCCAACACTTTTTAGATTTTGAAAGTTGTTTACGCTCTAAACCCTAGTTTTTTCGTTTTGGTGTGTGAATCGGCAGCTATATGAAAGAGGGAATGAGGACCAGCGTCGAAGCGATTTTACTGGTATGTGATTTGACTCAACAACCCCCCTCTTCTCATAATTTCCTTTTATTTTGTTGATTTGTTATAAATTGGAAAAAAAACTTGTTGCATTTCATTTTATTATTTCTTGTTCAATTGCACATTATAAGGGCTCTTGAGGTCATGCCTTCCTTGCTATACATGAATTTTTGAGTTAAATAATTCGTGCATCATTGAATGAGGAATTAATGTATCACACATGGCACCAGCTCGATAGGAATTTTCTTTTATCAATAGAGCACAGCAAGGAAGGAGAATAGGATTTGTTTGTTTCATGGTCTCTGATAAATGTATATAAAAGTACTTACCAATGGGTATTAGATGTCATTTTAGGTTTTTAGTTCTTGTTATGTTTTCATGTTCCACATTCTCGTAATTGTAGATGTTATCGCTTGGATGGACAGAAATTAGACATGAACTTGATTTAACATTTTCATTCTTTCCCTGGCCTCAACGTATGTCTACACTGTGCAGGTACAGGAACATAATCATCCCCACATACTTCTCCTGCAGATTGGGAACACATTCTGCAAACTTCCTGGTGGACGACTCAAGCCAGGAGAGAATGGTATGACCTTACCCTGTATTCCATCCTTTTCATGGTGCATTCATTTTTCCTAGTTCATATTTTTGAAGACTGACGCCTGTTCTTTTTTGGTTTCTTTGTGTTGATGGGTATCTTTATGTTGCAGAAATTGAGGGGCTGAAAAGAAAGCTGACTAGCAAGCTTGGTGCTAATTCACCTGCCCTTGTGCCAGACTGGCAGGTACTACTCTCTGATTTATTATCAATTTGAGTATAGATGTCAGAAAGATTTTAGAAGCATATAGGACTAGAGGAAAAACACATGAGAAGTATTAGTTGGAAGTGAGTTGACTGTAAGTGTGAAAAGGTAATGACAAATGAATGGAAGTTCCAAGGCGACCAAAAATGCAATATAGCTAGACATATTAGCCTTTTCTATGTGCTTCTTCAGTGATCTGTTTCATCAAAGTGAACTTGGTTTATGAGAAGTTGCAGCATGTCAATTTCACAGTGCCACTAATTCTGTTTGAAAACCTGGAACTTGGAAATTATGGTTAAAGGCGTCTATCCTATGACCCTAGTGTGAACTTGCAAGGCTACAGCATGTCTATTTTGTCAATGCTCATTACTTACATTGTCCCTTTGGTGCAGATAGGAGAGTGTGTGGCTATCTGGTGGAGGCCAAACTTTGAAACCATAATGTATCCATATTGCCCTCCTCACATAACAAAACCCAAGGTAAATGACTATCAAAAGATAAATCTTGGGCTATTGTTTCTGTTGACAGCTTTGTTGGGCTGCATATTATATCTCCTTCCCTCTCTTTTCCACTCACTGATTTTTTACCGACACAACTTTTTTATTTACCCAGTTTTGGTAATGCAGGAGTGTAAGAAGCTTTTTCTTGTCCACTTATCTGAGAGAGAGTACTTTGCAGTCCCAAAAAACCTGAAACTTCTTGCAGTTCCATTGTTTGAACTCTATGATAATGTTCAGGTAGTGTGATCATTTCACAATCTTCTGCTTTCCTACTTCATATTGGAATTTGAATGACGTGTTTTCGTTGTGAATTCTAAGTCTTTTAAAAGAAATAGGTTTGCTGCATCAGAAACTGTTCAGAATTATGATTCATAAGCTTTATATAATTACTTCTTATGATTGCCCTTGCCCTGATCCCCTTTTGTTTGTAGTTTAAGATAACAACCCTAAACTTTTTCTTCCTCTCACTTAATCTTAATTTTTGCCTTTATTTTCTCATGATATTCTTCTCTTAATTGCAGAGATATGGGCCTGTCATATCTACAATTCCCCAGCAGCTTTCGAGATTCCAATTCAACATGATCAGTTCATGAAGCGAGGAATTTTGAAGTTACCCTGGTTGCACTATCCATCATACTGACGATCATATCTTGATATCATCACATGGATGACTAAAACTCAAGACCTGGATATTATTTTGTTACTGAACTTAAGTTGGTTAGTATGAGATCCTTCAGTTTATCCAGATGACTTATCTTAGGATATTGACCGTCCATCTATGTTTGGCCATTAATCTTATTTGCTAATGCCTTTTGCATTGCACTTGGAACTTTGTTAAAACCGTGTTTGTATTGTTCCAGTTCTCGTAGTAGCTAGTGGTAAAATTGAGATATTCTTGTTTCTCAGAAAGAAGATATGTTAGTTTCTTAAGACTGGGGAGCGATACAATTAGTTGTCACAGGTTCTTTTAATATGAGATTTCGTAGCTGCTTTGGTGTAATGATGGGTAGGAGGAGATGTATGTTTTTAGAGTGTACTGACAGCGTGTTTCTCAGAAAGAAGATATGTTAGTTTCTTAAGACTGGGGAGCGATACAATTAGTTGTCACAGGTCAGTCCTGTTTTGAGATTCTTTTAATATGAGATTTCGTAGCTGCTTTGGTGTAATGATGGGTAGGAGGAGATGTATGTTTTTAGAGTGTACTGACAGCTTCTTAACTTTGTGTAATTGATGGGTAGCAGATGGATGCGTTCACAGCATTCTTATCAGCTTCATTTTGTTGAAGCCCTCATGTAATCATCTTTGTAGAATTCGCCTTGCATCAGTAAAATTCTTTCTATTATCAAGGAGTTTTCTTAAAAGATGTGGTTTGATGAATGCTGCCTGGTGCGTTTTGTTCTCCTGGTTCAGTTTACTTCTCATTCATGCTAAATATCTGTGCCCAAGGAATGCCACTGTGACGATGAGGGAAGATACAGACCCATATAGCTGGAAGAGGTGATGAACATTAAACATAAGATTTTGGACTAAATCAATGAGTTAGTATTTTTACAATTTGAAGGTTTCCTTCATATTTTCTCCTCTCCATTGTAATCTAAATAGCTTCTGCTCCCGGGTTCCAAGGTTCCATTAGAAGCATAAACATGACTGCACCCTGTTTTCTTCCAAATTTTCTTCTCATCCATTTTTTCTCTTGTGCTTTGAGCCTCTGGCCATTGCCCTGCTGAGGCATGCGTATTCGACAAGAGCACATAAACCCCAGATTCATTTGTCTCCAACCCAGTAGCCCTCTCTATCACTTCCTCTGCCAACTTAAAGTGACTTCTTAGTCTGCAACCCCCAAGCAAGGCTCCCCAAATAGCAATGTCAGGCTTATATGGCATTTCCTTTACTATACGTAGTGCTTCCTCCAGCTGACCATTTCGGCTCAGTAAATCAATGAGGCAGCCAAAATGTTCGAGCTTTGGTACAACACCAAATTCTCTCTCCATAGCGTAGAAGACTCTTTCACCTTCTTCTACCAAGCCTCCATGGCTGCAAGCAAAGAGAGCAGCGGTGAATGTGAAGTCATTCGGCTTCAATCCTTCCTTTTGCATCAATGAGTATACCTTCATGGCATCTTCTGTCCTTCCATGAATAGCTACTGCTCTAATCATAACATTCCAGCAAAATACATCCCTCTTTCCCATCTTGACAAAAAGCGTAAAAGCACTATTTATGTCCCCGCACTTTGCATACATATCTACGAGGGCAGTTCCTAAAATGGTTCCAAAATGAGACCAATCTCCTATCAAGTAGTGTGTCCACTTTCCAAACTCTAGAGCACCCAAGCGGGAACAAGCCGACAGAACAGAAACGAATGTTTGTGCATCTGGAACAACATCTTCCGATTGCATTTGGACAAAAAGATCCAATGCTTCTTCATACTGTAAATGTTGGCTGTAACTTGATATCATAGAGTTCCAAGAAACCACATTCTTGCATGGCATTGTCTCAAAAAACTTTATGGCTGTTATAAGGTCACCTGCATTGGCATACACTCCGATCATCAACGTCCAAGAGACGACATTCTTCTCTGGCATCCGCTCAAACAAATCTCTCGCATTACCTACATCCCTTACTTCAGCATAACCAGAAATCATAGAATTCCATACATTCTTGCATAGCATTGTCTCAAAAAACTTTCTGGCTGTTATAAGGTCACATGCATTGGCATACACTCCGATCATCAACGTCCAAGAGACGACATCCTTCTCTGGCATCCGCTCAAACAAATCTCTCGCATTACCTACATCCCTTACTTCAGCATAACCAGAAATCATAGAATTCCATGAAACAACGTCCCTTTCAGGCATTACATCAAACAGCTTTCTTGCACTCTGAACATCACAAACGCTGACATAGCGTGAAATCATGCGGTTCCATACTTCTACAGGTTTCACACACATACCATCAAAAACCCTGCGGGCATCATTCGAAGTCCCATGATTGACAACAGCCGGGTCACAAGAATCCAACTTTTTAACATACATATTGAAAAGCGCATTAGCAACTGCTAGATTTGACTCGAACCCATGCTTTACTATATGGCAATGCACTTGTTTCCCTTTTCTGTACCAACCCATTTTAGTACACGAGTTTAAGACATATGGGTAGGTGAAATTATGGGGTTTGAGTCCTCTAAGAGGCATTTCATCAAACAGTGAGACGCATTTCTCGAAGGGACCATTTGTATCGTACCCTCTAATCATGGCATTCTGAATCATAATGTCGTTACTGAGTTCAGGACCCAATTGGGAAAATATGAGATTGGGATACTCCATAGTTCCAAACTCGGTGCTCCGCCGAAGAAATTTTGAGAAAATTTGGATGTTTCGGTTGAGAAAGGTTGTGACAATGAGGGCATGTATTTGCTTTAACTGTCTGAATGTGCATTGTGGCAATACTTTTGAGAGGTTGAGCTCTAAGGAACAAGCCATGCCTTGCATAATGGGAGCACACTAATCCAGTAGCTCTTTTGCTTCCGTCTGTTTTTCTTTTAATTACTTCTTTTCGTTTTTGGGTTAAAAGGAAATATATAAAAAAAGCAACCAACTTGAGAGTGTATAGAATCCACGCAGCTTTCTTATTAATTGAGAATGATGCTTGTCTTTGCTTAATCGCATTTGGTTTTGTTAAAAAGAAGGAATCTTGACAAATCTAACTTGAAGTTTGGTGTAATATGATCAAATGTAGTATAAATAATTTTGGAAAAGATTAATAAGGCAGACGTGCAAACCCTGTTTCATTTTCTTAAGATAAGATGTTGGAAGTGTATAGGCAGGCAGCTCGTGAAACAGCAGCCTAAGCCTCCCAAGCCAAAGGTATCATTTCCACGTGCCATAAAACAAAGTTTAAGAGTTGGTCAATGAGATTACTTAAGGATACTGTAATATTTTTTGTGTCATATCCTCTTGTCCTATACTGTGTTGGCTTTTCATGAGTCAGATGTTTAAACGACCAACAACTTATTTAATATGGTTTTTCCAGAAGCAAAACTTATTTAATTTGGATAGCAGAAGAGTAAGCAACCCTGGAACCAATTGCTTTGTAACAGTTGACACCATCCACTTAAGCAGACAGCTTTTTTCAGAGAATACTTAAAGTAGATCAACGCTGTCTTAATCTCTGTCCTTTTTTGCATTATACTAAAACAAATAAGAGAAATATTATTAAGGAGAAGTTGGGTTTTGTTTCTTATGTTCTATGTTAGGTTTGCCAGGTTCAATCCCTGGAAATTTTATTTGCAACCTATTTTCTCTGATATGAAAGAAGCAGGAAAAGATGGACAGCTTGTCAGTCCCACCAACACAAGTCTTCGACTTCATTCATGGAATCAAATCAATTTTCTGAGATTAGATTCTTCTTTACTTAATTTCATACATATTTGTCATAATTTAGTTGTCGCTTAACATTTGTAAAACTTCCATGACAACCAAAAAAAGAAGTTCTATAACAAAGTCAGAGTCATGGAAGTCAAATTTGGCTTGATGACAGATAATTATCGACTTTGGAGGAATAAGCTTGTATTGCAACAAACAGAATATGAGACAAAATAACGTATATCTTTGTCAATCATTGATATAAAGGTATTAAAGTTGGAGATGGAAAGTATGCACAAGTTGTAGAATAAAACAGAATATGAGATAAAATGAAGACTGGTTTGCAGTTGAAGTTACAATAGAATTTCAGAAAAGAAAATCATGCCATATAAATTTTCTTCCCGGTGAATAAAATCAAAACAGCACAAGGTAATTTCAACAGTGACACAACACAGCAGGTTTTAATAAAAAGGAAAGGATCAGTATTGTCTAACCAACCACCATATCAAGGATAACTTTCTGATGCTGATAGTATCTTTTGCAGGTACGAGGTTAATTCCTGAGGTCAAGGGTCGTGGGTTTTGGGGACATAATTGGTTTTTGTTGTGTAAAGCTGCTGTTATTATTATTATTACAACTTGGTGATTAGTTCTTAATGGTGAGGCAGTTGTAGTGTGCGATTGCTTTTGTTGTCTTATCTCATGTTCTAACTTCTAAGTCTTTGTTTAAGATGGCCAATGAGTTTAATGTTATGAACTAATGAATGTTCTGATTTGCTTGCTGTCAAACTGGTTTTGTTTGTATCGAACCTTCAAAAGAAAACACATGGTTTACTACCAACAACTTAAAATAAACCATCACTATCGTTAATGTGTCACACTGTCCTGTCCTGATTCCATTATAATGATGCAATCAAGGTTCAAGGTTTCAAAACCAAGAGCTTCTAAGAAAGAAAGAAAAAACCTCAAAAAACCCAAATTGCTGTTTTTTTTAATCTCACTATAAATTTATAAAATACAAGTGATTAGGCATGGTTGAGATATGAAGCTAAAACGTGGAAGATGAATTAATCCCAAATAAATGTGCTCTAGATCCATAATTCATGCACCCTAAACCACCCAACCCAAGAACATTGAACATGAAGCATGCTTCAAGATTAATGGAGGGTGTACCCATCTAGAGCTTTTAATTTTCTTTTTTTTTGGAACATGCATAAAGGACTTACTTGAATATGTTTTTCTTTTGGGTCATTTTACTTTAATAAGTCGATATGAAGAAACGTATCCCTCAACCCATTTTAAAGACAAGGGGAAGAAGACAATCTGCTTAAAACAGACAGAGTACCATATGATCCATATGAATAATCAAAATTTGTGATTGCTGCAGCAGATAATGATGAGTGTTTTGGGAAACAGAGTGCAGCTGGGATAGAAACTAATGAAGCAAAAGGGACTCTGTCTGCATTGTCAAGGTAGAAAGCTTACTTTTTTACAAAAATGAACCTCGTTTTTCATATACATGGGGCAGTTTAAATTGAATTGAACATATGGAGACTTATAATGAAGTCAATATTCGACAGGGAAGGAATGAGTCATATATATATATTCTTGTAACTTAAGCAATGACTTTGACTAACAGGAAACGACAAAAAGTTAAACACATTTTAAG